CCACCCTAGACATTCTGCCTTCTCTAACCAGTCAACCAACCGCTAAAGACTCCCCTCCATGCTGCTCCTATTGTCTTTGCAGGTCAACAACTACCCACCAACCGACCCACCCCTTTCCCTGCAGTCCAACCGCCCCTCCACAACCCCATCTTCCCACCTACAAACCTCCACCACCTTACATCTTCCCAACCTGCTGCTGAATATCAACCTCCCGTACATCCTACATAACCACCTGACTTTCCCTTTTACTTGAATTGAGTATTGTGTCTGGTATTGTTATTTACCTTTCTAGGTGTTGGTTGTTCTTTCAATGATAATATTGATTGTCTATTGTGGTTTGGGTTAACTCCCATATCATTTGGTATCATCGCCAACCTAACTCTAGTGCTATCCTAGGGTTTTCAGCATTAGCATACCAAATCTATTTCCAACCCCTCAAGAAAAAATTTCTCCTCCTTTTCCACTCAAACCAACCTTAAACCCTACGTCACCCCTATCTACATCCCAAATCCTAACCATGTGCTAATTCGACTTATGTTAAGAAAGATTGAGGTCGACCAAAAAAAACTTGGGCATATGGTATAAAAATTGATCTTAATCTATTAGAGCTAAATGAAAATATGACATTCAATTTGACGCAATAGAGAAAAATGATTCATGTAGTCGATCTCACTTAGTCGGATAAAGACTTGTTGTTATTGCATTGGATTTGTTATATTTTGATGGTCACTTGAATTCAGACGAATTCATTGAGTGACTTCAGACCATGGAGCTTTTTTTTGAGTATTAGGACGTCCCACCAGAGAGAATGGTGAAACTAGTCACCAACAAGTTAAAAAAGAGCGCATTCTTTTGGTGGCGAATTTGAAGCACCTATTCCAGCATGAGGGCAAAGATAACATCACTAATTGGTCCCAAATGAAATGGGATATGCAACGCCAGTATCTTCCAGTTCATTGCAGACTGGATGTGCATACCATAGCTTCAAAAGTGGAGAGATAACATTATTAGATGACATCCACATCTTACAGGCAGAATTTAACCCCATGATTTTACAACAAGAGTACACTCAGGGGAACAACCACATTCAAGAGAACATCCAATCCATTCTCGCCTGAGGATGCATAGGTCAGAGTGTGGAACGGGCATAACCAATTCACATTCTCTAATCTGTCCCAGCTAAGAGTGTTCCAAGTGCTATGGACTTGGATATACTGATGACACAATAGACACTGAAGAAGGGAATGACACAAAGGAAGAGTACCAGCTTTCAACTAATGAAGGAAAGATGCACTTAGTTCCAGCCGAGCCCATGTGAGAGACTCTGACCGAATTAATAGTGGTTGTCCATGATGGTTTGTGTTTAAGGAATCGACATCAAAAAGGCATGGTGACACCAAATAAGAGAAACTTAGAGATTTCAGATATATAGACTCCTTTTTGAGTTACCCATACTGAGAGAGGTCCAATATGTCAGAGTTGAAACTCTTTTGTGCACTTCTGGAGGATTATATTAAGTTATTCGGATATTAGATTCAATTCAATAATGTGCCCAACAAGAGATGACTAGACAAGAGGGATGAACCACAACTTTGTAAATTGTCTTAAGAGCTTGGTGGGGAAGATAATTATTCAATAGGATCCAGGTCCTATAAAAAAAGAAGTGATCTCTCCTAGTGGTTGCTAGTGAGTGTGGCGCAACCTACTATAAATTTCCTTCCATAATTGATTTCTCCTCTCATATTTATTTATCAAATACGTCAAACAGAACACGAGAAATAGGTGCAGTTTTCAAATTGTGACTCGAGACCTGATTCATGAGAATACTAATTTATCTAATATGCTAGCTCAGATTGTGCGAAAAGAAGAAGAGTACTTTTCTATCAGTATGTGCTTTGGAATGATAACGCCTATAGGACTGACTTACTAGGAGATTATTTTATTTTTGTTATCTGTAATTGGGCCAATTTAACGCTATACTAGGAGACAGAAGCGTTGACAGATGACAGGGATGCTAGAGTCATGCGATGGGAACGAGCCTTATACTTGGACCGAATTGGTCCAGGTTTTTTTTGATGCTGAGAAGTCGGTCTGTCCTCTGAGCCACTCCTAATTATTCTATTACTATATCTTTATTTTTCATGTTTAATTTTTTAAGTTTTGTCGTGTTTCTTTTCAGGACAGCCGTCGACGTCCTGATGTCTCTCATTTAGGGTTATATCCAAAAGCTAGAAGTTGCTTCGGTTGTAAATCACCCTAAGGTGGTGATTATCTCCGACTCTTCTTGTCCCTGCTTCCATTTCTTTGCTGCTACAACCGTCTTTCCTCATTGTAGCCGCCTGAGAAGTTGTTGCTATTCCTGCAGTCCCCCCCTCTTCCCAAGGTCGTCGTCCCCTCTTCTCATCGCAGTTACCGCTGGACAACCCTCTTTATTATTCTCCTGCCTCTACTATCCCTCCAGCAAGCCATTCTCTTCCCCAGCCAGTCACCCAGCCGCCAAAGTCTTCCTTCCCTTCTGCTCTACTGTCCTTGCGTGCCAGTGATGCGGGTTTTTTATGTGTTATAAATGTTTTTCAACACCACAACACAGAAGACAGTTATACTAAAAAATATGCAGATTAATCACAATAAAATTTACTTTAGTATAATAAGTTTTTCCTTTAAAATATCTAAAATTTCTCTCGTAATGAATTAAGGTGTATTTTCAATTTCAAATCATCACTAGGTTACAAATACAAGTATATGTATCGCTTAAGTAATAAAGGGTTCTAATATAATCTTACATATCGATTCCACAGGGAGGTAAAAAATTGTTTGAAAAATCACACAAAAGCAGGATATTTGAATTATAAAAAACTAAAGTAAGAAAACAGGTCAAAATTTGTTTAATGCCACTAAAGAAACTAAGTTTACTACACTAATCTCTAAACTTCAAAGCTAAATTTATTAAAACTAAACTAGGTTTTGTGACAAAGAGTTCAAATTTAAGAAAACATCGTTTCCTTTACAACGAGATTATAGTCAGTGAATTATTCAATTAAAGAAAATTGTATTGTGCAAAATAAGAATAATTATATTCTTTTATCTTTTTTACAATCGATAAAGAATATTGACTAATCCAGTGTTTAGTCCCAAAATCCGCAGTTAGGTTGGTAATATATTGACTCTCTCTAGAGTTCCCACGTTTCCCTCGCCTGAGGACTAACATCTCACTTTAGTTTCCAAACTCCTGGACCAAATTGGGGATTTTAGTCTGTCACCTTAAAATCTCGAATTCTAAGTCCATTAATCAATATTTTCCTATTTATTTGCCTCAACCCCATGGACTACATTCTCATCCATGAAATTGAATGAGATTTTAATTTTTTTGTAGAAAGCATAACCCTCTCGGATCGTATGTTTCACAACATATGTTTCACAACAAGTATGTTTCACAACAAATTTTAACAATTTAATTGACCAGATCAAAAAGTAAATGAAGTTCGAAGTTTGAATCATCACAAATATGAAATCAAAATAATGCATAACAATCTTGATTCTTCACATGACCATTTCTCTTCGTAGGGAGAATGACAAAGAAATCTACTCATAATTCATGAGGAAGATACAACAAAATATGAATTATATAAATAAAAATAAGTTTATAAAACTAGAAAGAAAAGTAAAACAACTTAACTCGATCTCTTCCCCAAGCTAATCCCTTGAAGTTAATCCCTTGAAGTTTCTTTGAATATCTTTCTCTCTTTACAATAACACTCAAATCTCTCTTAGAAATGTAAGGAAGAAGAATCTCTTACTTTCCCTCTCCTCTAACAACTCTTAGAGACACTTGTAACACTCTCTCACTACTTGAAACTCACGCCTCACACCTTCACACTCAACACACACCACTTTTTCTAACATAAAAACATACTTTTATAATGTAAGGATGAATTTCCCAAGAGTCTCCATTGTTCCCAAGAGTCTCCATTGACACAAGAGTCTCCATTGACACCTCTTCAAAATCCGTCCAAATTCAATGCATTTGTGAAAATAACCGTCTTTGGCGCCTAGGGTCCGAAATCTGGCGCATAGGCACCGAAATCTAGCGCTTAGGCGCCTTCTTCTCTGTATTCTGGCACCTAGGCGCTAGTTCAAATTTTTGAAAACGCTACTTTTGATTCCAAATTTCATTCTTTTTGCATCCTTTAAGCTCAAAGTGCCTAGACTTAATATACCTGCAATAAAACATGAAAATACCTTTCTTTAAAGTGTAATATCACCAAATTTAAGTCTTAATTATATATGAAAAATTGAATATTTTTTTGTGCACCAGTCAGCACCTCCCCACCAGCTGACCCACCCCTTTTTCATGTAGTCCAGCCACGCCACTGCAGCCCATCTTTTCACTTACAAACCTTCACCTCGTCACATCTTTCCAACCTGTTGCTCACGGCCAACCTCTTGTACATCTTGCATAACCACCTACTTTCCACTTTGAGACACACTTCTAGTTGAGTTGAGTATTATGTTTGGTATTGTTTATTCTCTTTCAATGTGTTGGTTGTAACTTTTTATTGTCTTCTTCAATAATAATATTTGTTGTCTATTGTGATTTGGGAACTCTGGTATCAATTTACTTCATTGGCTTATTCTTCCAATGATGGGGCAAAGGTTCAACTATCATAAAAGCATTGTTTTTTATATGTTTTCGTTTTAATTGAAGTTTAATTTTTGATATTAACCGTTTGAATGATGCAATCTTCACAGATCAAGAATCTTTGTACTATTTAATTTTTTTTCAGTTTGATTATGCAATGTAGGTTCTGTTTCCTTTATGCCAGTATGATTCTTAATTTTAATTTTAACAGGCAACCGTAAATTTTTTTTTTTTCATGTGCTTTGCACCTCAGAGAACTGTTCCATGTTTGTTATTATTATTATTATTTTTTCTTTTCATGTATGTTTATGTATGCCGTTTTGTATTACCTTTTTCATTTACTATTTAACGCTGTTGTCAGACATACACTCTCGTGAACCGCCAGGAGACATCCTTATATTTATGACAGGAAAGGTGAGCGTTTTTTTCAGGAGTCAACTTCCTGTTTTCTAATAATAGCTTTTATCTCCTGTCCCTCCAAAAAGTGAAAGGCTTAAGCTTTTCATGTCTAAATGATGACAACTTTTATCTCCTTTTTGCTGTTGACTAGTTGCTTCAAGATAAAAATCATAGAAGCATGGTTTCTTTCAGGATGACATAGACAAAATGGTGTCCAAGCTGGAGGAAAAGATTCAAAACCTTGACGAAGGTTCATGTATGGACGCCCAAGTCCTTTCACTTCATGGTTCTTTACCTCCTGAGATGCAGGCATTTCACTATTTCTTGCCATGTCCTTTCATGAATTTCCATACTTATTGATTAACCTGTTTTTATCTGATACTAGTTTTTATTACATAAAACTTGGATCCAGCTAAAAGTCCAAAATCAAATGAATGATGTCTGGATGTTGTGAATGACGAATTATCATGAAATGATTAAAAACATTTTCCAGCTTTATGTTATTGATTTTGGTACTTCAGTGCATTTAGAAGCTTTTTTAAAATGTATCTTCTGAACAGATTCGTTTGTATTATGGTGTACATTGTGCCAGTCTTCTTCACAGTTATTACTTAGGTTTTGTTGATTTCCGCGTGTTCCTTATTTTATGATATTAAAAAGTGGTGTCCCCAAATCACAAATAGACTCTTTTTTAAGATAGTAAAAAGGCTTTTTCCGAACGGAAGATGGTGTTTGAAAGGTGAGATATTGTTACTTTGAAAGGTGACATATTGTTACTTTGTCAAGATGAATTTTTGAGAGAGGTAACTTCAAAGTTTTAAGTTTAGATAAATTTAATGTGAGATAAGATGTCTAGTTACATTAAGAATATCGCTGTCGTTCTAGGGGAGGCTTGAAATAGATCTTACATTCATAAGGATACTTTGTTGCAGAGTGTGGAGGCATAAAATATTATTTTGTAAATAAAATCTGCTTTTGAAGGGCGGCTAATGTCAAATAATATTAAAGTATGATTAATTTATGTCTTACAGAGAGGGTTGTGAGCAAACAAAATTTGTAAGTTCTGATGACTGATATAATAAGCTAGCTATTAAAGAAAACGAAAATAAAATATATAAAATATCTAATGTTGAGGCAAGAAATAATATATCTAATTACTTTAATTTGGTTAGATGCACTAGATAGTACAGCTTATTTAAAGATGACATCAAGGAAGGATGGACACATTACTTAAAAAAAATATATATGGTAAAAGCTTTAAGAAGCAAATGATTTTGGAAGTATATAATGAGCAATATAATGTGATATTTTAGATTGATCTGAAAAGCTTTATAATGATAACTTTGAAGAAGATCCACATTGATGAACTTTTATGATTTTGAGAGTTATAGAGGATGTTGTAATTGTTTGATTGACAAATTTTTTCATTATGAATTTGGTTACTAATTTCAGTAGAAAATGAGGCCCACAAAACCTAGATTTTAGAGTTGTCCTCACTGCCCCCAAATCAAAATTCACACAATGAAGAACTCAATACTCTGACCGTTCCTACCACAATCCCTAGTGTTAGACCCAAAATTTTAAAAATCAAGCTTCCTACACCAAAATTGTACCCCGACATCTACCACCCAAAACCCTAACCCTTTACCCTTTCTTTTAGCTGATATTTCGGTTGGAATTATGAGTTTTCATGTTGTCAATGAGAAACCCTCAAAGAGATGTTCAAACAATCACTAAGGACATGCAGTGGAAAATTCTCCAAATTTAGTAGAAGCTTGCCGCTTTTGAGAGAAGAATTCAACGAGGTCACCCGTAGCTACAAAAGTGACTTGATAGAAAATGCTTGAAAGGTGGAGAAATAACAACATCATGCAACGAAGAAGGAGAACCCCCTCCTACCAAAAAAAGAATGACATGGGGCGCATCACGGATTGTGGGAGATTGTTTGTGCTGAACGTGGTCTAAGTTTGCATTTTTCTGTGATCGTGGAAGTGGATCACAAAGAAATCGGGGGAATTTCACTAGGATTGGATTCTGACCTGCTAAGAATGAACTGAGGCTTTCTTGCTCTGCTTTTCTGATTCCAACCCGATTTTTTTCATTTTCTAGTTTCTTTCCTTTTTTTATTTCTAGTTAGGGTTTTTATATGAGGTTTTTATATGTATTTTGTTATTTTTTGTTTTTATGGATTTATGGAATTGTTATTGTTCTTGAGAGTTTTTGGCCCTCTATTTATGCTTTTCAATGTGTTTTATCTTTTTCTTTTGTAAGCATTGTATCTGTATTTTGCTTAGGAACAGATTGCGGAATCTCTTTGCTGCCCATACCTCGTCTTACCCCTGTTCGATTGCTGCCATAAGTCTGAACAATAGTCGAGCCACTCAAATGTGCTGCCCCGTTGCAGATTTCATTGCTTATCTCCTTTTAAATGCCGCCGATCGACCCCTATCCCCAAATGCTGTCAAACTCGCATATTATCTTTCCCTCGCTATTTCATAACTACCTCTCTGCGAAATTTGCTTTTCAACTACCTTCAAGGAGCTTTAGAACGGTATCATATGGTAGCAGAGCTTGACATACCCTAAAATTTTGGGAATTTGTCTTTGTTTCCTATATTTAAAATTCTAAAAAAAATTTTTACATTATTCATTTCATTCATATCACAGTTTCTAGCCTTGAATTCTAAAATTCTCAAAATCCAACTTTTCTACCTTTAGCAAAATTTTACCCCGACATCAATAACTAAAACTTTAAACTTCAGCCAACCTTTTAACTACAACCCAACACCTTAAATGAGAAAAAATGACACGATGCTGCTGTCGTAGGGACCCTGAACCTTTTCGTGTGTTCTGCAATAGTGGCCTGATTCAACCCACAGTATTGCAGGGAGTCGTACGTGATCTCTGCTAGACCAACACAAGATATTACAGTGTGAACTAGCCCAGGATGGCTAGTCGACACTTCCTTTATGTGGATTTCCCTTCTATTTGGAGTGGGATCCACTCCTATTTACTTTTAGTCAGTAAATATGTAATTTTGATGTTTTAGAATTTTTTTTTTGTATTTTCTGTCAGGACATCCCTCGACGTCCCGATTTTTCCTTCTAAGAATATATCCAATTTCGTGTGGTGCTCCGGTTGTATCTCGTTCCAAGGTGGTGACTCCTTTCAAAGGGTCGAGTGATGCTCCTTCTGCATCTGGAGCTCGAGGTGGTGTTGTCCTTCTCCAATTCCTCTATATCCCCCCTTGCTACCAGTCCTCTCTCCTCATTGCAGCCACCCCGTCAGCCACCTCGCAGTTGTCTTCTTACAGTTCTTGCTCTCCCAACTTCTGCCTGTTCACTGCCGCTCAAAATCATTTCTATGACACCCTTGTTATTGTCCCAGCCCCCCCACCTCCCACCTTCCCTCTACCTTTCTCCAGCCTTCTGCCTCGCAGTCATAGCCCTGTAAGCCCCTCGCCTTGTTGTTCATTGCTGTCTCAGCCACTCACAACTTTCCCTCCACCTCCTCCCAGCTTTCTGCCTTTCTGCCACAGCCTTGTAAGCCTCTCCCCTTGTTGTTCACTACTATTCCAGCCACCTGAACTGCATTCCTACAACCTTGCTGCTGTTCCATTGCTTCCACGGTGCTGCCATTACCGTTCTAGCCAACTAAGTGTATTTACCGCGCTGTCTTGTTGCTATCCCACTCGTTGTAAACACTTCTCCACAACTTAGCTGCTGTTCCTGCTGCACAAAACTGTCCCTAGCTGTTGTTTCATCGCTGCCCAATCTACCCACCCCCTTGCTACTGCTTTTTCAAGCCCCTATAGGCCACCACAAACACAACATGAGATCCACCCTAGTTAAGTCTTTGGATTGTCTGTTGCTATTTTAGATTTTTGGGTGTCGTGTTATTGTATTTTCCCTTTCAAGTGTGCTCAGAGCTAGCCTAACCATAATCCTATGACCTATCGAAGGTTTTCTAGCATCCCCTATACTATACACCACTAGCTTAATCTTATGGTAGTGATGAGTGATAGGGGCTTGAAAAAACGGTATCAAGGGGGTGGGTGGATTGGGCAAGCAAAGTAACAAAGGATAAAAGCAGTTCCAGGTGGTGGGAATAGCAGCTTGGCTGCGGGAAGATGTTTTGGGCGGCGCGGGGAATGGTCTTGGGCTGCTGAAAAGGCAATGGTAGTGTCGGGAAGTGTTGAAACATTAGTGAGGTGGCAAGGATGTGGTTCAAGTGGTTGGAACATTAGTGGGTGGCAAGACGAGGGGTTTACGGGGCTGTGACAGCGAGGCAAAAGGCTAGGACAAGGTAGAGGGAAGGTTGCAGGTGGCTGTGATAGTAGTGGAAAACATGGTGAGGGGTTTATAGAGCTGTGATAGCGAGGAAAATGGTTGGGAGAAGGTGTAGGGTAGGCTGTGGGGGGTTAGGACAACATTAAGGGTGCCAGAGGAATGATTTTGGGTAGTTAGCACTGAGCAGGCGGCAGTTGGGAGAGCAGGAACTGTAGGAAGACTACCGGAAGGTGGCTTTAAGGGTGACTGAAACAAAGAGGAACGTGTGGCAGCGAAGCGGGAAGCATGCAGAGGAGTTGAGGAAATAAACAGTGATTCAAGAGAAGTTGAACATTTCAGTGAGGAATGTCAGCTTCTAGTCGAAGAGAAAGTGACCAACAATTCCAATTGAACCCAGAAGAGAGACTCCAGTTGAGTTGCCAGTAGCTGTTTTATAAGGTAGTGAGTCTGAAGTAATGGGTGCTAATGCCAAGTATAATATTGTGGTGCCTTGAGCTATTATTTTGTAAGCGTTGAGAGGAACATTAGCAAGACTAACATTGCATGTTCGCCCGGGCCGCAACTTGGAATTAACCAAGAAGGGAACATATAATCAGACGGTGAGGATTAAATTTTTTATATTTATTTACTATTTAACAAATGAAAGAGCCACTAATCAGATTAAATTAAAACAATATATTTAAAATTCTCATTAATGGTTGTCCTTAACTTTTATAAATATTTTTCTTCTATCTTTTATCTTTTAAATCACTTAATTATACCTGAAAAATGAGTTTAAAGTAATGGTGAGCTAACCAAAATTAGTGAAGTAATAGAAGAAAAAAAATATGCATGTCAGTTAAGTTTTTAATAAATCAATATAAACATTTGAGATGCTATTCAATGAATCTTACTCTATCAATATAATAATAATGTCATTGTATGTTTGTACAATCGTCATAATAGCACTGTCTAAAAGTTGTACCAGTTAATGCACTTCAATATCAATATACTTTCTCATATACGTGCATATATATCTTAG